TAGTCAAGCAAGGAGTTCCTAGTAAAGAAGATTTAGTAGTGGCTTTACCCAAGTTGCTTATTGTATGGAAAAAGTGTTTTAGAGCTTTTCTCTCGATTGTAAACAAGAGATATAAATAATATGTCACCTAAGCCGTTTACGTAGCGGTGACAGTTTTTTTTTACTGGCTGAAGAAAAAAAGAACAAGATATCTTTAAGACATGGTTTGATGCTACTCTGGTTTACAGATTTAATGAATGTAACCGAAGAAGTTACAATTCATAGACCCAACGTTTCGACACTCCTGTCTAGTGCCTTCATCAGGGGTGATCTAAACGCTGCAACAAGAAGTCCTTTTATATGATCACTAATAAGCTCCCTTTTTTCTGAAGAGATGTAAGTAGGCGTCAGGAAGAAAGCCGCCATCGTCACGATTTAATGGAGCGTGCGCGGAGTTAATATGCCAAGCCTCCAAACAAAAGCGCTGGTGACAACGCCGATTAGTGGTGATAATTTTAGAATCATCCCACCCAATTGTATGGTTGATTAGGCATGTGTGCTCCGATAAAGCTGAATTTTCCTTTTTGCAAAAGAAAACCGCTTTTAGGTGGCCGTTGTGGGTGGCCGTGCATTTTTCGTGTAAAACGATGCACAGTAGGGATACATAATGCAATGGCGCGAATTGTTCTTGAAACAAATTCATAAAGAGACGTTTCATGAGGAAAGGAAAATGGTCCATTGCTACAGTAAATCTGTCGGCTAAAAAAATCTGGTCTGACCGCGTCGGTCAAAGGTGAAACGCCGTAATGAAAAGTGGTCTCCGAGTGACGCCTCAACTCCAAAGAAAAGAGGTAAAATGAGGACATATCGATGAGCGTGCCCGTTAACCCCCACCCCCGCAACCCCATCTTCCTTCCCCCTGCCTTTGTAGAATAAAAATGCGTGGATCCAGCAAAATGGGATGAATAGTTACGTAACATACTACTCGCTATCCCCTCATCTTGATGTTTTGCTGTGATGTCCTTATGTTTTTAGTTAAGCAAGGAGTTCCCAGTGACGAAGATTTACAGTGGCTTTCGCAGAAACTCGAAAAATGGAAGATAGTCGGGCGTCGTCTAGAAATTGACGAATCAAGTTTAACGGCGTTTGATGTTGAAAATAGGGGATGCTTTGAAAAGATCTACAAAATGTTACTACATTGGAAAGAGAGGAATGGCTCAACTGCAACATATACGATCCTACATGATGCACTGTGTCATCCATTGGTCAAACGCACAGATTTAGCTGAGCAACTTATCACTGGTAATATATCACTTGCAATTCAATAAAAATAGAATTACATAGAAGTATAATGCCTAAATTCACAGATACAATGCTTTTTGGCCACTGTATATTCTGTGTTCGTTGTTGACAGTGCCTCGCAACAGGAAAGTGTCGCTTCATTTGTGGGTAACCAAATCAAAGCGAAGGAAGATCATTTGATGCGTTTATTTTCATGTAGTTTTCTGGTAGCGTAAAATTCACTCACCACTTAACTGCCAACTGTAAGCGTAAGGTTGCCGCTATTTCCTCCAGCTTTTTAGGCTCTGGAATCCATTGAATTTAAGAAACGAACTGGTGAGTTTTTTTCATCAGAGACAAACTTTTCGATGAATAGTTAATTCAATATCAGTTTGTTGGAAAGCAACTAACTCACCTACTAGAATGCAGAGATACAGGAAATACCGTTGCAAACTTCCTTTTTTAACGACTCTGTCTTTCTACAATGGCTGTTTATTTTACATAAAGGAAAGTTTTTTCCAAGTATTTTTCTCGAATTTTAAAAAGAAATGAAAATGATAGGTAACCAAACTCCAAAAAAAAAAATTCAGTTTGTGTACGTAGGCCTTCTTATCACGTATAAAACGATATCTGTAACATGTAGGTATGCGTCATGAAATGGCCCTAAGCGACGGGGAAACCTTAAAACTTTTAAGCGGAAAAGAAAAATCGTCAAGGCTATGTACAAGCTCATCTATTGACCGAGAAAATCTGTTCCAATTTTTTTAACATTTGTTAAGAGTGCGATACAACTGTGCACGTGCTACAAGTGCCCTTACAAGTTTTCATTTTCAGTGAATGTCTTTGTTTTTCCCCTAAGTTGCTTATTGTGTGGAAAACATTTTTTTCAAGCTTCTCGCTCGATTGCAAACGGAAGATATGAATGATAGGTCACCAAGTACGTTTACGTGGCGATCATAATTTTTCTTCCGGGCAGAAAAAAAAAGAACAAGAAATCTTCCGTTCGCGTAGGTGGGCGTGCATTTTTCGTGTAAAATGATACACAGTAGGGATGCATAATGCAACGAAACGAAGTGGCCTTGAAACAAATTCCTCATGAGACGTTTCACAAGGAAAGGAAAAAGTTCTATTGCTACAATGAATCTGTTGAGTCCAAAAATCTGGTCTAATTTTTTTTTTTCACGTTTGTTATCATGCAGGTGGTTCTACTAAACATTTGGGTCGGCTAAAGGTGAGACGCCGTGATGAAGAGTCGTCTCCGAGTGACTTTACTCCGGAGAAAAGAACAACTTGTTTGGCAGGTAAAACGAGGACATATCTATGGGCGTGCCCGTTAACACCCACCCCTCGACCCCATTTTTCTTCCCCCTGCCTTTGTAAAATAAAAATGCGTGGATGTAGCAAAATGGCATGAGTAGATGCGTTGCATACTACTCGCTAACCCCTCATCTTGATGTTTTGCTGTGATGTCTTTATGTTTGTAGTCAAGCAGGGAGTTCTCAGCGACGGAGATTTGGAGTGACGTTACCCAAGTTGCTTATTGTATGAAAAAGAGTGCTTTAGAGCTTTTCTTTCGATTGCAAACTATAGATATAAATGGTATGTCACCAAATCCAATTACGTGGCGATGAAAATTTTTCTTACTGGCAGAAAAAAAAGAAATCTTCTGTTCACGTATGTGGGCGTGCATTTTTCGTCTAAAATGATGCACAGTAGGGATACATAATGCAATGGCGCGAACTGGCCTTGAAACAAATTCATTAGGAGCCGCTTGTTGTCTTTGGTATAGAATATCGTTATCTGCTGATGAGAACATGAAGACCAACAGTGGAAATAAATGTATATCAGAAAAATGAAAAACATACGCATTCTTTGTTTTTCAATCGCATTGCTGTGAAAAAGAACTATCAAAAAGTCTGAGATAGGAACAAATTCACTTTGGTAGCTTTAATTCCAATTTTGAAGTCATGGATAACGTTCTCAAATTCCAGATTAGAGAGGGTTAATAAGAAATTACTCACTTCTGCATCTTTATTGTATTTAATAAGTCTTAAATCTATTTTCTTTGTCCTAGATTGTAGGTATTACAAATCGCTGATTAAGCACGTTTATCAACTACCCCCTCCCCCTACCCTCCTAATTATTGTTTTCGTGTTCAGACTCTTGTGCGCAGTAAGATGAACCCAAATTTTCTTTGTTTACCTTTCTACGAAATGCCTCACTATTACTGACCGGTTTAAAACTTTGTTGCGATCTAAATCTTAACTTTTGTCCGTTCCAATGAATTTCAATTCTTGATGTCCATCAATTTTCTCTTCTCTCTTTTAAACTGTGATCAGGCTCACATGAGATTTTCATCTCCAATCAGCACTTATTTCGACTCCTGCTTGTTACCCATTTCACAAATGTAGTGAAGTGTGTTTTAATGCTCATTACATTTTGACTTTCTTTTCCCTTTTGCAGACATTTCAACAGAAGAGGAGAGTTGTAAAAGTGATGATCCTTCAGAAAATAAACGTAGAAGGCTTGCAGGTATTGTAATTATCAAGCTAAGAAATTTCATATTAAGCTTACGTTTTAATAACTTATATTATACTTATAGAAATGGAGTGTCTGAGCGCGGACTCCAAAGGTCGGAGGTTCTATCCTTGGGGAGGACTTGATTTTTTTTTTGTCCGACGCTCGTGGTACGACGATAAAAGACATTTCCTTATTCTTTTATTATAACAATTCATTATTCTTGTCCTGGTTTACTTCAGCTGCTTCAATGCCGAAAATTAATGATGGATCATAAAATGAAAATAAGATATTGTTTTCGAGCTTCTCCCCTCGCACTTAACTCGGACTTTGCACTCGCCCCACCCTTTCCTCCGTTTGACTGAAATGCGCCAAAAACTTGCATCTGTTCTGCAGACAAGAGTTCGTGTGGTTTTGGAAACTTGGTGTCGTATGCTTACTCATCCCAGCAATAAAAGTTGATGTTTGTTTTGTCTATTTTTCAGAACCGTTGAATGTTGAGAAGTGCCAAGAGAAGCTAAAATCTTATTATGACACCTTCAGTAAGGTGAAAATCGTTCCATGGGACGAAAGCTCTTCCATTGAAATTAATGAGATCTACACACCTTTGAGTTGGGTGAGAGATCACAGGAGACCCAGCGGAGTGACACAAGAGGAACTTGAAGACTATACCGACATGTTCATGGGAAAACAAACACGAATACTTGTTTATGGTCGGCCAGGAATTGGTAAAAGTACGTTTTGTAAGAAGGCTGCATATGACTGGTCGAAAGCATTAAAAGAAATCCTAATGAACTTTACCATTTTGCTTCTGATTAAGTTGAGAGATGTGTGTGATTTAGAAGACATCCGCGATGTTTTACGTGCGTCTAAATTGCTGGCCAGTGATGGTCCGATCTCAGTTGATAGTCTCTATGATTACATAATTAACAATCAAGATAAAGTGCTTCTTATTTTGGATGGCTACGATGAGTACCGCTTTGCGAAAAAACACTCACCTATCCTTGCAATTTGGAAAGGCGAGCAACTAAGAGATTGTCACGTTATTGTCACCACGCGTCAACTTGAGTGTGACGAGTTAAGAGGCCCCAGCCACGTTCAGTTAGAAATTCAAGGTTTCAAAAGCTGGGAACGAAAAGAAAGCTTTGCAAAAAAAAAATTTGGCAGATGAAGAAAATCTTGACGATTTTCAGCTCTACCTGGAAAAGAAAGATCTCGATGACATGGCAGAAATACCTCTCCTCCTACTGATGCTGTGTACTTTGTGGAAAGAGAAACGTCACGAAGGACTGCCAAAATCACGGGCCGACATATTCATACAATTCATTCAAACCATGCTAGATCACAAAGGTGAAATTCAACTGCCTATGCCATTTCAGAAAATGACCTCAACGGAAGCCAGAGAAGACCTTAGTAATCTTGGAAAGGTTGCCTTTAAAGCACTTCTACAAGACCGTCTTTACGTACGCTGCAGCAAACTCCCCGGCAATATTTCAAGAAGTTTTGAAAAATTAAGAGAAGTTGGGCTTTTCCAGATTGTCAATCTTACGAGTCTCAATCCTGAGAAAGGGGCCTATTTCATTCATAAATCCGTCCAGGAGTTCCTTGCAGCCTGGCACATTAAGGAGGAGGTGTTATCGATGAAAGGAGAAAGTGCGCCTAGCCTTTCCAAAGTTGAATCATTTGAAAAGATCGTGAAGATGAATGAAGTTCTGAAATTTGCCTGTGAGCTGTCAACAGAAGCCGCTTACGTAGTTTTCCGTCATGTAGCGTGTGTTGGAAGAGAGGAATCTTTCCGAACCGAACCGTTGTCTCAACATGAAGAACTTTGTGGTGATCTTATCTCGCACAGCTACTTTTGTTGTTCGGCCGAGAAAAGGCGAGATCTCTGCTCAGTGTTTCCCTCTTATACCGGAGGTTATTTGTTTCTTGATTCTAACAAGCTGAACATCACTGCAAAAGAACATTTGCTGAAATCTGGCATGACACCCAACGTTATCTCTTTTACTTGCATCGGAAAGTCTTCCGAGAAAAGCTATCAAAACTTAATCACTGTAGCAGAGGACACAGATGCCGTATTTTTTAGCCGTTCGGGCGAAAAGAAAGCCGCAGATTTGTTGAAGAAGTTCCCGCGTCGTCCTGTGAGCGAGTTCTTTTTTAGGAGAGAGAGAAAAATCATCGTTCATGTTTTGGAATTATGGAAAGAAGAAAATGTTGGCACTTTTCCGACTGAAATGCTGCGAGAGCTCATTTCGCTAACAGAAGAGTCTACTCGAGTGAAGCGTGTTGGTGATCCGTTGAATGAACAAGACAACGAAACAACTCCGCGTTTGACTCAGAACACTTTTAGCATCACTGGTCCAACTCCTTATAGTCTTTCCTGTCTGGTTGAAATTTCTATTTACCACATTGAAAGGCAGGAGATGAAGATGCTAGCTGATTTCTTACCTCTTTTCACTGATCTGCAACGTATAGTTATTACTGGCAAACCCTTTGAAACCATTGATGCTCTGTTGACAGAGACCCTGGTGTCTCGTATCATCTTCAGTGACGGACTTCGCCAATTAGACCTTAGTAATATCAATTTAACAGCCAAACCTGCCGCAGCTATCGCTAGATCTCTGCACCAGGCTCCTGGCCTGCGCTTACTCCATTTGTCAGAAAACCCTCTTGGTGAAGGAGTAAGTGTTCTCACTCAACATCTCAGCCGTGTTCCTCACCTGAGTGGGCTGTACCTTATGAATGTTAAAATGACAAAGCAACAAGTGAATGATTTGAGTGCAGCTGTACGTCAGAGTAACATCAACCTTTTGCAGACACCCTACCACGTAAGTTTTGTTATCTTAGTTTGCATATGTAGTCATTATTCATGTCTATTCTGTTCAATTTACTGTGGTGTTGTGCTAAGAATTTTTACGCCCTGGGTTCGTGGGGCAAGTGCGATATTTCCTTTGCTTTTATGAAACAAGATTGAAATTTACCTCATGAAAAGTCACCACTAGTCAGTTCAAATCAGTTTTATACATGTAGTAAGTGAATGCGTTACCACACTGTGCGCGTGAATGTGAGAACGGCCGCGTGTTTTCAGGTACTATTGACAGAAAGTTAATGTCAGTGTTTGGAAGAGATCAGGGAGCTACTTTCTACACTTGTCTTAAAATTTAGGAAATCTGCGAGTACTGGTTTTCAAGTTTTGTTTATTTGTTTAGCTATTTTTTTCCTTCTGAAAGTGGTCTTGATTTCCGTAAGAGAAACAGAAATTGAGGGAGCAAACAATTGCTTGTTTTTAACATGAGCTGAGCATCCGTCTGTAAGAAATGATTTGAGACCTTAGTTTTTTCACTTTGCTTTATTTACAGCTCTTAGGAGTTGTTAAACAATGTCATACTTTAAAGCTGAAGCTTCTTTCTGAAGGAGGAAAAGTTAAACTTCAAAGAAAATGTGGGATGTTTCTGGATGCTCCGAGAAAAAAATTTTGATACCCAAATATTCCCTTAGAAAGAGCTTCTGGAATAGTATTTGGGAGTTTTGTAGACAGATGGTTAGCATAAATCTGTAATTTTGATTTGATTGATTAACTCAGTGGTTTGCTATATCATTTAGGTTTTGAAAAAATGCAGTAAAGGCACAGCAGAATTTTTCCCTTAAGCTTCCTTTTACACAGATTTTCCTTTTCTTCCTTTGGTCCTAACCAGAAGTTACTAGGAACATTGTCAATTGGAAAAGAAATGACCAAGGGCTTCCACTTGAAAAGTAGTAGAGAAAGAATGCTACCACTGTAAGAGAGATACTGGTTCAAATTTCACAGGCAGAGATTCTCTAATGTCAATGGTTTGCAGTTACTTTGATCAATTATGTTTTTATCCTACTCTATCCAGAGAATTTCTTGTTAATCAGCCTGTGTAAAAATAGCAATGAAGGTTGCATCTGTCTGAATCAAACTTGCCCTAACTGGTGATATGTCTTTACATTTTTTATATTAACTTGCCAAGCAGACTGCTAAGCTGATGAGCTGCTGAACTACAAAAATATTGCAGCATTTGAAATGCTCACAAATAATGTCCACTTTTGCAGTTTCCTAAGTTTGAAAATGAGTACTAGCTGTGGATGAGCCACTAAGTAAATATTCATAACCTTTAAAGAGGAGACATCAGCAGTTCCTTGTTCCTCGCATGAACTACGGAGCCTTTTCCTTAAAAGGTTACCTTTAGTTGTATTCTCTGCATAGGCTTGTCAGGTCAAGTACCTATAAGACTCTAGGAGAGGTGGTCACTTTGATGTTATGTATATTTTTTTAACACTTTAGCTTATTTCTCTAATAACATAATCAGTATGGGTCCCACCATGGATGTAATTGGAATATATCTAAATTTTATTGAGCCTTGTGATGTTTGCTTACAAGGAACGTTCCTTAATATAAAAGTTGTTTTAAATTAACTCAGTCAAACATACTCATGGCATGATTTTTCTTTATATAAAAAGTAACCAGGGTAAACAAGTTGGAGTACAGGTGTATGTTGTTTGACAAGATAATGTCGATTGTTGGTTTGTGATTTATGACAGGATCTCGAAGGGAATGTCAAACCTGAAGAAGAATGGCCAACAGATGAGTACTGGAGTGGTTATTGGAGCGAATCAGAAGAAGAGTCAGATCCTGGGTCAGTACCTGACTCAGGTGATGAGGAGGAGCCTGGGTCAGTTACCACCTCAGGTGACGAGGAGGATCCTGGGTCAATTACTGACTCAAGTGACAAGGAGGATCCTGGGTTAGTTACCGACTCAGGTGATGAGGAGGAGCCTGGGTCCTACCTGGAAATGTAACTGACAAGGACTGACTCAGTAGACCGCCTGAAACTAAGGAAACTTACCATTGGTCAGAACTGTCAGGCCAGACCAGTTCATCCATTGATAGAATTCCTTCAGATCTGCCCAGTTAGAGAAGTCAATACCTAAGTTGTAGTCATTGTGTTGAACAAAATTTGAAAACAAGTTTAGGAAACCTGATTAAACAAAGTGCATTTCAAGATGATTGGTTGGTTTCTTAGGTTTCTGACCAATGGTGGGAGACTTCAGTGTTGTGATCAAATGAACAAACAATCAACTGTTGGATGAAAGATAAGGAAATATATTTTTAGAATCACTTAGCTCAGGTAAATTGGTACCCTCACCAACATGGTAACTCCCTTCCACAACATCACTAAGAACATGTGGGATGTTCCTCTGGAGTCAGAGTGTCTCATTCTTGAAATTGATTGTTGGATTTGGATATATTTTAGGTTATTTTTCGATGTCCAATATTGTTGGTTGTAGTTTTGATTTACAGCTTTGAGCTTCAAAATTTGGTTTTCATGTTATTGAGTTAGAGACTGAGGTATTTTTTGTCATTTTTTAGTTTAGTAGTCGTAATGGTTATGCGCTGCCTTGGCAATTGATTAATTCATTAGGCTGACTGTCATTTCTTTTGATGTAAATGAAAGAAGTCCTCAATGCAGCCATTCTTCAGAAAATCATAGATATTTCAATGTGGCAAAGAGCAAAACCATAACTACAGGTTGAACTCTTCACTAAAGGCAAAAAAAAACCCATGTGAATATCAATTTCGTGATTTAAGATCAATATTTTTCTTATTTTCATGGCATTCAAGATGCTGTGAATGAATTTAGCTGTTTGTTAATTGGGGACAGGCTTCTGCCTGCCTAAACTTCAAAACATACCATTTGAGATTAATGTAAATATTGCATTGTGGTTGACATTCAGTCATCAGAGCTGTCAAAAGTCAGTTGAGTTTGATGGAAGAAGGGAGACTGTTTGACAAGTATATCGCTAACTCTGAATTGTAAAATAATTCAATACAGTATTCTATTGGTTGTACTCGCAAAATTGTCGAGTGAGTTACAGTTAAGTAATGGTTATATTATATCTTTCTTATTTGAGAAGCTGGAATTGTTCCTCAGGTGACATGTTCCATTGTGGCTGTACATTGCACATTGTAAGACACTGACTCTATCTCTTGATTTTTATGTATTAAGCCTTTAAGGCTGATTTCTCAGTGATAAGTTCTGTTTTTAAGTGCTCCGTTTTGCAATTGTAGAAGTGCACTAAACTAATTTATATCAAATTAGAAAAAAGGGAACACTTTTGAACCCTGTGATGTCAGCGAAGGTCGTCACGACGAACCAATCGGACCATTATGTTTTATCACAGGCCTCCCAAGCTCACGTGTATCGAGAAAAAGCAAACGATTAATTCATGAAAGTGTCACGCGTTGTGTGACTCGGTGTTTTAAGTTACGGAAAGAACCATTATAAGGAGAAGTACGGGGAAAGAAACATACGATAAATATTTCGAAGTATGAACATTTCACAAGTAAAATCAATAGAACTTACTCACATCTTGTGTGTCCGTCGTGGTTTCCGGTGTTCTCTACCGTTTAAGGTTGTTTTGCCGTCACTGTTATTCCTGTTCCCCATATACCGAGTCACACAACGTGTGAGGACTTCATGAGTTAATTGTTTGTGTTTTCTCGAAACGTGAGCTTGGGATGCCTGTGGTTTTATCCACACTGTAGTGTCTGGCTGTTTCAGGCCTGCTCTGTTTGTGCGACTGCTCACGTGAAGTCTCATGCTCCAATCCATCAAGTAGAAGAGGATTACGGAACTTATGGGACGGCATTGAAAGTTACCCACCCCCTCCCCCCCTCGACTCCGACTCACCACGAGGCCTCTATTTCCTGTCCTTCCTTCCTTCTCGGATTCTAACCTCCTAATGGTTTTCTGTTAGAAAGCCTCGGTCAAATTCATCAATTTGCAAACTATAGTGGAAGGGGGCCGTGGGATATTTTTGTAATCTCCAAAATCGACCATTTTTTATTTTTGAATTGTGATGTAATGAAAAACCGTTTTAAGAATCATGATTGAAATGTATTCCATGAAACGAGAAGGAGAAAAAATATACAGTGAAGGAAGTAAATTGTGTACTTGTACTGAAATGAAGAGAATGCTGTGATCTGGTCAACGGCACATGAACGGTGTATCAGACCGATTACAAATTGAAAAAACATCCCGTACAGCCTGTCAAAAAAATAAAACTGAGGGACTGGCTGATATTTACTGTATGCCACATTCTTGAAAGATTCCGAAATTTCAGCTCTTACGGAAAATTTCCTAGCAATGTCAAGACGAGAGGGTCCGTGAGTTTTTTCTTAATGACTGTTTATATCTATTACTTCCTGGTTGCTAAATCGATGTTGTGTTATTATTGAAGGAAAGCAACCGAGTACCGTGTTTCCTCGAATGAGCGCCCACGCTCCTATCATGTCAATCAAGCTCCTCAATTTTCTCTCTCCTCACTTTCTTAATTAATTGACATACAAGGAAAATCTGTTTCTATTACCACTTTATTTACAACTTTTTAGCCTTCAACCACAGCGAAATCAATACAGGTTTATAGTTTAATAACTGGCCCCCTCGATTAATCGTCCTCCTTCCAATAAGCGCCTCTCCTTTTAGCCGAAATTCGAAATGAGCGCGGAAATAAGGTATTTAATCGGGTAGTAGAGGACGATCCTTCACCAGATGCTCTTATTGCCACATTTACCAATAAAAGCTCGTATACTAGGAAAACATTGTTTATTATTTCCTTACGGAGGTAGGCAACCCTCTCATTTTAACTGCATGCTATCGATGGACTGAGATGTTAACAGAATGACAAACCTAGTGGAAATAGTTTCTTTCCTAACACTCGGTGGAAGATCAAATTTGAAAATGATAGAGCTGCACTTTAATAGAAAACTAAAACTTGACAATCGGCCAAACAATTTGTCAACCAAAACCATGCATGAAAACGGATGGAAATGTGCGACGCTCCATCGAAATGTGTCAAAAAGGTTTTAGGAATGTTATCAAGAGGAAATGAGATTTTTATTAATTTGAAAATCGAAGGTAACTGACCATACGAAAGTCGTATCATGAATTTATAATAAATAATATTTAGGGCAAGGTTTTCTATACTTTTGCTTTTGAACTCTTAGCTTTGCAATGGCTATATTTAGTTTTTTTTCACTCGACTCACTATTATAGTTTCATAGAAGCTATTTAAGTAGGATTGGCAAAACTTTACATTTGCATTTTCCCTCGGACTTATCATTACGTATGAAAAACTTAGTCTGTAATCAAGTGCACTTTCAAGAAGCGGTAACTTTCAGGAAGTCATTTTTTACCCCGTCAAGTGTATCGCGTGCACGCAAACATTGACTCCTCGAAAATATCACAGTGAGTATTGGAAGGACATGATTTGATAAGCACATTCCAGAACACATACGCGGAAAAGCTCTAATTGCCGTGCTTGTTCAGACTTTTAATGGTAATAAGACTTGCTTGGAATTTTAAAGATAAACCAGTGCATCGAAAAAGATGTAAATGTAATCTTGACTCGAATATCAAGGTGAGCGATGCTTTACATAGAACTCTTAATCTTTAATTTATGTTTATTAAAAATTAAAGTCTCATTTCTTGAAATAATTTAAGTCTTATCAGTCTTTTTAAGCACGTCGTTTTCTAATTCGAGGAGGGAATTTCCTCCGTGATATCTTGAAACAAATCACGTTCCTTTTCGGTAATTAGATAACGGCATAGTATGTGATTATCGTAGTCGATAAACTGTGAGTTTTTAAGCCTCTAACCCTAGGTCTGAATGTACTTTACACATACTGAGAGGTCTTATGTCATTAATTAACGGCGTAAAATTTTGCAGTAAATTTATTTACAACCTGAAAGGAATTAATCTCTTACAGTTAATATATTTGAAATATATTATTTTGTATATATTAATTCATTATTGTAAATATACCAACGCAGATGGTGGCGTATAATTGTTCAGTATGTAGGCTAAGATATTCACATATTATGTTATTATATACATTCCTCTTCCTTTTGTAGTTAGGTTGAAGCTTAATTTGCATTTACTTTTAACTAGACACCTTTACCCTTGGTGATGTTTGCAATAAAACCTCTAACAACCCACTGAAATTTTGTAACAGAAGAAATTCTTCCAACCCGGCAACCTTGGTATCATTTCTTGTACATGAATTTTGGCAAGGTGAGAAAAACATTTGGGGGCCAAGTTTGGGTAAAGTATCAGAGTATCATCTGACATGCATGTCGGTCAAGAGGCAATGAGTTGCAATGTTTGTATCGTGGCGATCCCAGATATCTGTGCGCAAACGCAAGGATCCGATTACTTGCAACATATTCATTGATGTCAGTCAACATGTGGACCGAGTGTTGCTTTACATATCGACTGATACTCGGTTGTTATGTTGACTTTTAGTGTCAGTCGATACCCCTTCAACAGATGCCTTGAGTACACGATATCGGCTCCTTTTAACCACATATCCCGTACGAAAATTTGGAGCCTGACAGAGCCAGAAGACGGCCTTGTTCGGGACAGATTACCATTCATAGAGCCATACATCGACACGACATGAGCCGGAAAAAAAATTGTCCTGGCTTTTAACTAATGAGCCAGTAAATGTTACGCTTTTTTCAGGGTCATGAGAGACCAGGCAAGGCTAACAGGAGCAGGGCAAGAGCAGGACAAGAGCCAGACAACGCTGAATACCTTTACACATTTTAAGGCAACATATAATTCAACAATGCGCCTGTTTTCAGAGCCTAACAAGTGACTGCCGCGAGCCAGACAAGTACTGTTTTTAAAATGCTTATCTTGGCGATAATTATTACCGCTCGAAACTTGCTTTCACTCGGATAACATAGCGTAGTCACGCAACAATCTTTCCGTCGGTTTTCTTGACACAGACGAGT